TCAACACGCATATAAGCGATGAATGTGTTAGCAGGGTTGGCAAAAAACTGGGAAATACTCATATTTCCCAGGACGGTGGGAAATACTGGTAATTACCGGGAATTACTGGTATTTTCCGGGAAATACCGGGAAATAAGAAATAGATACATATTTCATTCATATCAATTGACATGTAGTACACCTTTTGACTAAGATATCTACCTCAGGTATCACTGCCCCTGATTTTAAAAATTCTGGTTTCCAAGTAATTCATTTTGTATAACTATAAAAAAGTATATTCATATACCAGTCATGAGTGTCATGTGTTTCATGCTTGAGTCCGATGTAGCCTATAAAGGTCCATTAAATGAATCAAAGATCCCAATTGGGTTTTTTATGAAACTAAAGAAGGATCTAAGAAAATTATTAAATGTAGAGTGTAGCTTAAATATCAAACCTAAGAAGAAGCCTTTCAGTTCTACTCATGGTAATTATATCTCAAAACAGGAGCACAAAACTGTCCAGAGCAATTTGTTAAAACAACATGATTGATTGTAAAAACCACCGTGTTTATAGACGGATTAATACAAGTTTGTTTTGTTCTTGGATTTATAATTAATATACTTATAATGATAATTTTACAAAACTGAAGAGAAACTTGAATTGTAAAACTTCAGTTTTATGCAGCAAGGGAAATTAATGTTTCAGAATGCTTATAGGTATGGGACACAGTAATACTTCACATAAATAATAAACATCCAACAAGATAATTGGGTATGATATATGAAATGAAGTTTCAGTAGGTTTGAAAAATTGCTTTCGCTCCCCGTGCAACAAAACCAAAAGGAAGAATCTTCATAACACTGCTTTCTCGCCCCTTTTTAAATGCAGAATTTTACCTTTTCAAATCTGAACATGGTTATATTGTAGCTTAAGTCTTCAAGCATAGTCTGTATATATAGATACTTATAAAAGATTTTTTAGGGAAGGAGACTTTCATTATATACATTATATCGATTAAACAAAATCGTATACTTCACTGTGAAATCCCGGTTTCAACATTACAATTATGAAGGTCATTGTATTATTTGAATGAGAAGGCGGAGCGTCTATCAAGCGTGCGATTAGTGTGAATACATTAGCGTGTGTTCGAGGTGTACTAAGTTTTATGATAAATGACACCTAAAAACTCTCTTTTTCGTGATAGAGACCGACAAAATATAAGCATACATTTTTAATTTGGCAGGCTTAACTTTTTTTTTCTGCTTAACTTACGAGTTGTATTTGAAATAATTTACTAGAAATTCGTTAAATTGTTTATACATTGAATACACAATGGAATTTGTAAACAGAACGTATAACTAAGGATACACTATTTTTCATACTTTAAAGAAACCTTTTTTTAAAAGAAATAATTAATCCATTTAAGCTTCTTACATATCTAGAATTTATTTTATATATATATATATATATATATATATATATATATATATATATATATATATATATATATATATATATATATATATATATATATATATATATATATATATATATATATATATATAATTTTGCAAAATCTGAGTGATACAACAAATACACATAGGCGGTTGAATTATGATTTAAAACTACACTCTGTGTATAAAAAATAAATCGTTAAGAAAGTGAAGATTAAAACGTCAATAAACGTCAGTTTCATCGCTGGTGGATAAAGAAACATCAGTATCAGTGTACATGTACTTTGTACAGTCCAAATTAAATTAAATTGTTTCAAAAAATCCTGTTTATTCATGCCAGACAAGTTATGATCTTCCTCAGTTAGAAATTCATTAATTGTCGAAATCCACTCCTGTACGTTTTGATTTTAACAAACTCTCTCCCTGTGGTAAGATAAACAAAAAATCGCTCCGATGTATTTTTAACCTCCTTTTTCATTCGACTGATTTTAGTCCTAATATCTAAATCTTTAATGATACGTTGATCGGACATGTGAAAGAGTCATACGAATGCATTTTCTTGCTTTAAAACATTATGCTTTAAAACTACCTGCGAACATGGACTTTTTTTTACATGATCTGCAAATATATATATATATATATATATATATATATATATATATATATATATATATATATATATATATATATATATATATATATATATATATATATATATATATATATGTCACAGATGTTGTGTTTTAATTTGTACATAAAATTGGCGCGCATTGCCAATCGAATGCGTTCGCTGCGTTTGTTGTGTCGTGTGTCTAGTATGAATGTTTTGGGAGATCATGTGACATTGTTTATTTTTGTATTTCCACGTGTTTCCGGTTAGGTGACCTAATGTGACCTTACAGCTGACCAATAACCGACTGTTTTATCTTATTAATATGCATGTTTTAATTTCTGCACCGAGTATTTAAGCACAGTACCCGCCAATTCTCGACCCCCACGCTTTTTGCCTTTACGGTAGAAGTCTGTACATGTATTTGAAACATAAGTATTCTGTAAAGTATTACTTGGACTTAATTTAACTGGATTCCTGGTAAGCTTTCTGTTTACCTTTATTATAATTATTATATGAATGTATTTTATAATTTACTTTTATTAATTAATCCCGACAGCGAACAGTCATATAATTTATGTGTTGTTAATGTCTGATGTTAAATGTAAAGTAATCGTTTTGTGTGTGTATTGTGTTGTGAGAGTGTGTTTAATTTATACCTTGTAGGTTTTTTGTTATAAGCACAGTAATAAATATAGTTGTGCCGAATCCATTTTTATCCTACAAAAGACCCGGTGACATATATATATATATATATATATATATATATATATATATATATATATATATATATATATATATATATATATATATATATATATATATATATATATATATATATATATATATATATATATATATATATATATATATATATATATATATGACATATGGCTTTAGGAGACCAAGGAGGATATATTTTCTGGCTTAGGGAGACCACTGGATTAAGGCGACCTTTTTCGGTCTCCCTATTATTTTGACCTCATCAGTATTGCAAATGTCTTTTTATAGATAAATAAACAGTCTGCCATTAAATTTTATTAATCTTTAACTCTGTTATTTAACATTCAAAAGTTGTCTAATTTCTATCATCTTCCCTAAAAAAGAAAAGAATTTATAACCTACGTATAATTTCAAAGGATAATTTTTCTGCATTTTGGAGACCATGAAAAACATGCAATTAAACAAAAAATCTAGCATATATATTTTTTCCGCTTTTGATTTGTTCAAATGAGTGTTTCTTTAACTTAGTTTTCCATGTTTTATGTTAAAAACCTAAAAAGGAAAAATATTGTAAATTTATGAACCATGTTTTGAATTCTTAGCAAGTGCTTTCCGTCATTTGTTCCGAATGCCATCGGAATGCCCCTTCAGTTTTCAGAAAATGACCTCTGAACACCATGGATGTTGAGAAATTTGGGTAAGTAACTAAAATGATACAATAATAAGTTGTAATTAAGAATACACAAGACAAACATTCGTTTGTTTTTTGTTTTTTGGCCTAGTAATTTAGCTTTCAAGAGAAAAAGTATGATTTTAAATAATCGTTAGACTATAGTTCGGTATATAAAATCCTGAAGGAAATTCGAAATAAAGTTAAATGATAGGCCCCTTTATTTTTTAATTCTTTTATGCAAGTCCACAAACAAATTAAATATTTAAAGATTAGGCCGAACGTTGAAAAAATAGTCTCGCAAGTTGACGCAGCTATTTCGAGCTTAAAAATTTAAATTAAACTTTCTGTAAACATCATGCAGGACATGATCATCATGATATAGTATAAATGAAACAGACCCTGTAAGAAAAAAATAGCTGTAATTTAATAATTGTTTATTAATGTAATGTGGTCCTCTGCTAATAGAATATATATGCCGTAAAAAAAAATCTGAATCAGGGTGAAGCAGATTTGATACAATACATGGCTGAAGGAACGGGGGGGGGGGGGGGGCAGGCCCCCTGTAATTTTGCTGAAATTTAGGTATACTATAGAAAACATTGCTCCTTTATGCTTGGGCCCCCTCAATAATAACCTCTGATGATCTATTTTTCTTTTGCTTTTGGGCCCCCTCAATAATAACCTCTGATAATGTATTTTTCTTTTGCTTATTAAAAAATTTTTGGTTTGTAGCCTCCCCCAACCTGAAACTGAAAAATGTTGTTTGGTTGTGCTCCCCCCCCCTCCAACTAAATTACGTACGGGCCTATTCTCCATCCCTGAGGTTTAATTTCTTTCACCAAAGAAAGATTAATTGGTAACAGTTCAGATATATATAGCAATATTTACGGAAGGGAATATTCTCGTTTAATTATGAAGATGTGACAGTAACTCAGTCAAAGCCACAGTGAGTGTAACATTTATTTAATATTATTGTTAATGTTTACAAATAGTGAAATACTGATACTGTGAAATTTTAATGGATATATAGAAAATATAAAAGTACAACCATTTATTGTAAATCACATACATGAAAAGCTTCTTTTTTTCAAGCAATTGGAAATTCTTCATTTTTTCATGAAATTATTTTATTTCGTATGTATGATAATTTATTTCGTATTTTAATTCAGTCAACAAATAGTTGTCGCAGCCTAGTTCCCTTCATTATTTTCAGCAGTTCAGTGACAGAGATAAAATGATCATTTGAGGTTTATACCCCCCCCTCCCCACCAAATGAAACTGAAAAATGTTTGGTTTTGGTCCCCTTCAACTGAAATTGATTCCTACTTACCATGCTTACAGGCTTAACTATGAAGATGTGACAGGGAGTGTAATAACAATAATTGTTCAGACGGATACATATTAAGCTGATATACGTATCAAATTTTAATGGATAGATAGAAATTAATAAACAATTACAACCATTTATTATAAACTACATAAAGATAATTTTTCAAGCAATTTGAAATTTTTCATTTTTTATGATAATATTTTATTTCGTATCCATATGTTTATAGGTTTATTCGTATCAACAAATCTGTGTACGAGTTAATAACGCAGCCTGGTTCCCTGCATTTCAGTGACAGAGAACCAGAATAAGATTGTAGGGAAACAAGCCTTGTTACAAGGTTTGAGGTTTGTTTATTTTATATTTTAATTTACACTTTTTAAAAATTATTATTACTATGCCAAAATCTGTGTGCAGATGAATATTTACATTTTAATGTTATAAGTCGTTTTGTGGTTCATATTTGCGGTGACTGTCCCACGTGTGTTTACCTGTTTACATTCACCTACTGACCTAGAGTCTTCAAAATGTACCTTCTGTAATCATGACTGTTGTAATCTTGTTTTTATGTTAGTTTACCGTATGTAACTTGACTGTTGTATAGATTTATAGCGATCACTGCAAGCTTTTAATATTTAGGTGAAGAGAAATTTCAGACTATCAATCACAGGCACTTGTTTCATATACGGTGCATCCCTACTTATTTTTACCACAAGGTATCTAACTCAATTTCAGGCACCCCCGCTTCAAGCTCTTATTTTGTTCATGTATCATTATCAATCATTAACCTACTTTAAAATGACATCGTTCGCTTCAAGAGACTTTTTTCTTGTCAAATAAATCGTTTCAGACGTCTCTGGTCGAGTCTCTTTATTGTAAAGCACTCATTTATTCCACGAAAATTACCTCGATACATTTTAAGACTTTAGATGGGATACAACTTCCAGTTGGGGGTAAAATAAAACCAGAGACTTCCGAGTATTCCATTTCGAGGTCTCTGGTTTTATCCTTCATTTATAACCCCAACCGCAAATTTGTATTGAAAATTACCTAGATACATTTTAAGACTTTAGATGGGATACAAATTTCATTTTTTTCACAGGTCACGAGGTTTCAACTTAAAAAATAAAAATTCTCACCATTAAGATATGTAGGAAATTTTAGCTTGATGTGTTGATAATTTGCCAAATTATTATGTAATAAAGGGGACTTTATATGATCACCCGGCGCTGTCGCTTTAGTTCAGTCTTCACAACAATTCTTTTTCAGCACATGCCCTTCGGGCATGTAGACCTATCATTTTTACCCAGCCCATTCAAATTTGTACATGTCCTACTCAAAATTCTTACATTTACCAGTATTGTGCAACAAAAAAAACCCATTAGGTATAAAGGTTTTATATTAATTTTTTCAGCATCTTAAACCAACCATGGCCTGTGATCGCCATTTTCTAAAGCGTTTTTGTTCATAAATAACTTTTGAGTTGCATGCTGGTCATTTGTTGGCCGGTTTAGCTGAACTGAATTTCAGAAATGGGATCATGACTGTAGTGCCACAGTATGTGGCATTGATGAACATCTCGTAATTTAGCAAGCAACTTCGAGAAAACAAATAGGTTAAACTAAACACTTCAATGATTAGATTGACAATCATTTGACAGGTCGTATCGAGAATGTAGACAGGCAATCCATCGACATTACATATAGCAACGTTTAAGCGAATAATGGGGGAAGGACAGAATAAATGGCAAGTAAAGATCGTACAATGAAAGAAGATTCACATATGCCCTCTTCGGACATGTAATTTGGCAATTTTTACATGCCCGGCTGCAAATTTAACAGGTCCCTGGCATTGGACTCCAGGGTTATTTGGAAGACTGTTAGTTTAGTTTCACGAGGTCCGACAACATTGATTCTCAATGTCTGCTCCCTCTACCCCATACACTTATCTTGATAAAATTATATAAATTATATTATTAATTATATAAATTGATATAAATTATATAAACCGGTCTTGTTTATATAATTTTACAATGTCATAAACAGCTGCTTAAGTGCATATAATATTGTAAATGGATTTATATATAGGATTAGGGAAAGATCCTCACTTGATTATGGCAGCATATTTAGCTCGTAGGAGTTTATTATCTACCACACATGATCAATGTCACTTTTGGACGTGAATGACTTTTGACACCCTAACTTCAGTTCAAATCAACGTTAACTTTATGTGACGTCTCTCTGAATCTTTTTTGGCATGTAACTTGGGTAAAAACAATTAAGTACTCTTGATGCATTTGATTTCTCTTAGCCCGTTTAAACATTTCCAAGGTCTATACCAGTTTTTGCAGGGGCGAAACTATGTAGAAGTTGGAAAAGAAACCCATCCCCTTTTTGACGTATTTGGTTTTCGAGGGGTGAAAATTTTCAATATTACACTCAACTACATGCAATATTTATTATATTATACTGAATGTTTTATACAAATACAAATAATAGTGAACCTTGAGCGTATAAATCTGCGCAGTCACTATTTTTTGGAATATCACCTGTCGTCAAGCAATGTTGACTGTTGCGACACTGGGCGTGGCTTCATTATTCAGCGGATAATAGTGCTTTTTAACAAATGTTTCTTGACGAATCAGATTACTTCATCTAATATACCTGAAAGTACAATATTAATTAATTGTCATCATTTTCCTATATTAGCATTTTTACTGGTAATGGTTTTGAAATGATAGGAACATGCACTGTTCAAAAAGTCTTAAAATGTTGTTTTGGCTCAATTTCTTTGTTAGATTACTGTGTTGAACTAAGGCAGGTCAATTAAAGTAACATGATCCTATAGATTACATGTACATTTAGTACTGTAAAGTAGACAAATTTATTGTTCTCACAAGTAGTTCTCAAACATTGATTTAAGTTGGTCTCCTGAAGGATGTAATAATGCAATTGGTCTGCTTAAGGTACAGTGTATAATATAGACATGCATATTTTATTTTGAATTTGTATTATGTCAATCATTAGAAATATATGGATCTTAATTAAAAAACATTGTTTTCATTAGAATTTAAGATATGTATAATAGGCATATATTCTTCATGCTTTTCCATAGTTAAGTCCTTTTTTACAGGGTCTCTGCTAGAATCATGTGGACCCCAGTGTAACAAATCTATGGAAAGAGAGAAAATCTCAGCTCAAGGGTCAACATGTCTTTATTCCAAGAAAGGTAAATTGATAATTTTTTCTGCTAAAATACTCTTTTATAAATTATAATATCAATGCAAAAGAGTGAACGAACAATGTACCTAACAACATTTTGAAAATGAAAGTGCAATAACAGTTAATAATTATGATTAGTCGAATGAATGTTAATAATCCAATCAAAGTCCTTGTTGTATATCATTTTTGCTAGGGCTGTGTATTGAGCAAAAAAAAAAAGAAAGACATTTTTTAATGCGATATGCAATATATTGAATTCTTTAACAATTCTGTCAAAAAAGTCTTATAAATCATTATGCATGAATTTTATAAAAATAATAATTGTTTTTTACTCATTTTTAATTTTTTGTCTCACTGTCTTTAAAAATAACACTTCAAATTCAAACTTTTCTTGACTGTAAAATCAACATGTTAAGTAAAGTTGTCTATGTATTTTTATGATTTTGTAATAATCATTAAGCAGTGTTAAGATGTGCTACCTCCTTAATGATTATGTCATTTTTGATCAGTTTTAATTAAAAACAGTTACCGGTAAATATAATCTTTGGTGATTGAAATTCCCAAGTTTTTCACAGAATTACATAAAAAAACCGCCTGCCCAAAATGTATTGGAATTAAGTTATTTTTAGCTCACCTGAGCCAAAGGCTCAAGTGAGCTTTTCTGATCAAAATTTGTCCGTTGTCTGTTGTCGTCTTTGTCGTTGTTGTTGTTGTAAACTTTTCACATTTTCATCTTCTTCTCAAGAACCACTGGGCCAATTTCAACCAAACTTGCCACAAAGCATCCTTGGGTAAAGGGGATTCAATTTTGTTCAAATGAAGGGCCACACCCTCTTTCAAGGGGAGATAATTAAGAATTAGTGAAAATTTAGTGGTATCTTTTAAAAATCTTCTTCTCAAGAACCACTGGGCTGTAAAAGTTGAAACTTAGGTGAGACCTTCATTACAAAGTGTAGATTCAAGTTTGTTCAAATCATGACCCCCTGGGGTAGGGTGGAGCCACAATGGGGGATCAAAGTTTTACATAGGAATATATAGGAATAAATCTTTAAAAATCTTCTCCTCAAGAACAATAAAGCCACGATTAGTCATATTGATATGGAATCATCCTCAGGTAGTGTAGATTCAAATTTGTTCAAATCATGACCCCCAGGGGTAGGATGGGGCCACAATGGGGGATCAAAGTTTTACATAGGAATATATAGAAAAAATCTTTAAAAATCTTTTTCTCAAGAACAACAAAGCCACAATTAGGCATATTGATATGGAATTATCCTCAGGTAGTGCAGATTCAAGTTTGTTCAAATCATGATCCCCAGGGGTAGGGTGGGGCCACAATGGGGGATCAAAGTTTTACATAGAAATATGTAGGACAAATCTTGAAATTGTTTTTCTTAAAAACAACAAAGCCACAATTAGTCATAATTTATATGGAAGCATCTTCAGGTAGTGTAGAATCAAGTTTGTACAAAATCATGACCCCCGGGCGGGGGGGGGGGGGGGCACAATGGGGGATCAAAATTTTACATAGGAATTTATAGAAAAAATCTTTAAAAACCTTTCTCTCAAGAACAACAAAGCCACAATTAGTCATATTGATATGGAATCATTCTCAGGTAGTGTAGATTAAATTTTGTACAAATCATGACAAAATCATGACCCCCGGGCGGGGGGGGGGGGCACAATGGGGGATCAAAATTTTACATAAGAATTTATAGAAAAAAATCTTTAAAAACCTTTCTCTCAAGAACAACAAAGCCACAATTAGTCATATTGATATGGAATCATTCTCAGGTAGTGTAGATTAAATTTTGTACAAATCATGACCCCCAGGGGTAGGGTGGGGCCACAATGGGGGATCAAAATTTTACATAGAAATATGTAGAAAAAAATCTTGAAAAATCTTCTTCTCAAGAACAACAAAGTCACAATTAGTCATATTGATGTGGATTCATCCTTAGGTAGTGAAGTTTCAAGTTTGTATCAAATCATGACCCCTCGGGGTAGGGTGGGGCCACAAGGGGCGATCAAAGTTTTACATAGGAATATACAGAAAAAAAAATTGAAAAATCTTCTTCTCAAGAACAGCAAAGCCTTGTTAAGTCATATTGATATGGAAGCATTCTCAGATAGTGTAGATTTAACTTTGTTCAAATCATGACCCCCAGCGTTAGGGTGGTGCCACAATTGAGGATCAAAGTTTTACATAGGAATACATAGGAAAAAACTTCAAAAATCTTCTTCTCAAGAACAGCAAAGTCATGTTTTGTCATACTGATATGGAAGCTTCCTCAGGTAGTGTAGATTCAAGTTTTTTTCAAATCATGACCCCTGGGGGTAGGGTGGGGCCACAATGGGGGATCATAGTTTTACATAAGAATATATAGGGGAAAAAACTTGAAAAATCTTCTTCTCAGGAACAGCAAAGCCATGTTTTGTCATATTGATATGGAAGCTTCCTCAGGTAGTGTAGATTCAAGTTTGTTCAAATCATGACCCCTGGGGGTAGGCTGGGGCCACAATGGGGGATCATAGTTTTCCATAGGAATATATAGGGGAAAAAACTTGAAAAATCTTCTTCTCAGGAATAGCAAAGCCATGTTTTGTCATATTGATATGGAAGCATCTTCAGGTAGTGTAGATTCAAGTTTGTTCAAATCATAAACCCCAGGGGTAGGGTGGGCCACAATGTGGGATCAAATTTTTACATAGGAATATATAGGAAAAAATCTTTTCATCAACAGAAAAGCCATGTTTAGTCATATTGATATGGAAGCATCCTCAGGTAGTGTAGATTCAAGTTTGTTCAAATGATGGGGGGGGGGGGGGGGGGGTAGGGAGGGTCCACAATGGTGGATCAAATTTTTAACAAGGGAATATATAGGAAAAAAATCTTTAAAAATCTTCTGCTCAAGAACAGTAAAGCCATTTGTTATATTGATATGGAAGCATCCTCAGGTAGTTCAAAACCCAAGCCCCCTCCCCTTTAAACTTTTCAATACTGAAGTGATTTGTGCTTTTTCCTAGCCAATGTGCTCAGGTGAGCGTTGTGGCCCATGGGCCTCTTGTTTTTGATACAATATATTCATTAATCTAGATATGTATCGATATACAGGTAAACTTCGGTATCTCGAACACCGGTATGTCGAATACCATGGATATCTCGAAGTGAATCAACGGTCCCGGCCGTTTTTATTATATTTATGATTTTAAAAAAACCCTGGTATCTCGAACACGGAAATCTCGAATACCTCGCTTATCTCAAAGTAGATTTACGGTCCCAAGTGCTATAAACACATGCGTTATCTCGAAGTCCAACAAATTCTCGCTCCGCTGAATTCACACCTTAGTACACAATAATCCCATTATGCTAATTTTACGGTCTGTTGAACATTTCCATTAGGTCTAGCACAGGCTTCATGGGACCATTGCTGATAATCACACCTTATTAGTCCCAAGCTGTTGTTTTTGGTAGTTAAATTTAATTACGCAGGCCAGGTGATTTGGAGGTGTTAATAAAATGCACTCTCAGAGATACTATGACACGATAATGAAACAGCAGCTTGGGGACGATTACTGTACTAGAAATTTAAATTATCGAAAATACACGCTTATACACATCATTACATATCAAAGTAAACACTGAACACATCAAAGTGATATTGAACTCAAGAAATTAAACAATTAAAGACATTATTTTGAGTAGAAAAGTCAGTACCAAAAATCAAATCTTCAGTAAATATCATGTCCGATAAGGCAGTCTAACGAAGGACCCGGTAGCCAACCAGGGGGGATAGTTAGATTATCTGACTGTGGTGTAAAAAGAAAACTTAAAGTTCATACAATCGAAACAAAGTTTGCTTTTGTTTATTCGTATTGGCAATTTCAATAAATTATTGTAGAACGATAATTCCTGTTGTTACATTTAGGCATGTGGGTATATGTACATATCCTGTTAAAGTCTTTGTGTATCACATTATATCATGATATACTTCAGACAAATTAGTACACCCGTAGTTTTGAAAACAATTCATACATTGATTTCATTTGCCACAATGGTCTCTTTAATATTGCAATAATGCATTTGATCTTCCTAATGCATGTATAATGCAGGTACTGTATATACTCTATGTCCAGCTTATAGGTGAGTCATAAAAAGATTAGTATTTTGAAACCAGGTTAAAACATCATTGATTTGAAATTGTCAATAGATTCTGGCAAAAAGTTGTACCGATTTATAAGCGGGTCAATAGCAAATCCCTCCAAAATAACCTCAAAAATACAACTGACTTATAGGTGGACCACCTTATAGGCAAGTATATATATGGTGTAGTTTTTGTTGAATTTTGCTACAGACCCTGAAACGTGCTACTACCCCACACGCACGCTGCACGAACGGTACACGCTCGCTACACGGTTTGCACGAAACGCTGCACGGTTTACACGAAACGCTACACGGTTTGCACGAAACGCTACACGGTTTACACGAAACGCTTTGCACGAAAGGCTGCACGGTTTACACGAAAGCCTGCACGAAACGCTTTGTACACGTTTCTCACACGCTTTGTACACGATTCTCGCACGCTTTGGCCTCGATCTGGATTTTCTATTCGGAATCTCTCGGACTTTATTTAAATTATTACGGATTAATCAAAGATTAGTTAAGAATTGCAATCATTCAGTTTAAGATTAAAACTCGCTACACCAGTACTATATTAACAGGTAAAATACTCAATCTTCGGTTGTAATTAATTAATACAGATGTAGTTATCATTGAGTATGTGCCCGCTCGGTGAAATGCTTATCATCGTCTATGTACAACCCTTTTTAAATAGACTCTAAATTACGCACTGAAAAAAATTATTATATTTGTAATTCATAATCTTTTATAGCATCCAATGTTTTTACAATTAGCCTATAGTTTGATATTAAAAAGTCGTTTCATTACTGACAAATAAACTCAGTTATTGATTTGAAAAAAAAAATGATTAAATTGCGTATGGTTTTTGAAAGCGAATCGATTTTCTTTTCTTTCTTTTTCAATTTTTGATTGATTTATTCATTTTTTGATTTATAGAAAAATATATATATTCATTGGATTAGTTTAGGTTCTGTTTATAATTTGAAAAAAGTGACATGTACACTACATTGTGCAGGAAGGGGGGGGGGGTAGATTACCGAGATCTTGCTGTTGTATCTTCGAATCTGTACACGGCTAAATATAACGGGCACTTGTTTCAGTTAGAATAACATTGGGGGAAATATTATTATAGAAACAGGTGCCCATTCTAAGAAAATAAAAGGATATCCAGAGGGACCAGATACATGTAATTCATTAAATGCACTTTATTCAGAAAGATAAATAATCGTTCTCGTTCTCGTTTGAGGCATTGTGTTTATCAAATAAAAACAATATATCCACCACCTTGTAAAATCCTTGATTTCAAACCCCGTCTAGACAATTAAAAAAAAGTAATCAAAAGTCACGGCTTTTAGTAATACATTCAATATACATGTATGTACATGTCCTATGTCCTATAAACTAAAAATTATGCTCTGTAATTGCGTGATTAATAAAACAACTAATAATTACACTGTACTCAAGATTTATTTCTATATATTTTTTTATTCGCTAATACACTGGCAAATTAATTCACTGTTTACAGACAATCGGATAAATTTAAGAAATAAAATCCACGGACCGTATTTATTTGTACCCATTAAATACTAATAAAACGATTTAATTTCACTAATCAAAATCAATCGTTATTGTCCCGTGTCATCTTAGCTATGATTGACAAGAGATAATAACAGAACAAGTTTTCAGTTCCCGGCACGAGGTGCCCGTGATCGCTGTTGTGAATGACCTTGATCACTGTCGTAAGAAGAGTGTTGGAATGTGTAAAGAAGATTCTAGTATATTTTTAAGGGGTGCATCGGGCGCACCCCGAAAAAAAGCAATAGATTTCTTTAAAAACAAAATTATATATAAAACACTTAACAACAAAAGCTCAGTTTGTGTTATCATTTGAACACCCCCCCCCCCCCGGAAATAAATTTCCCTGTATTTGCCGAAGCATGTGAATTATAATTCATTTATGTGACAATTATTAACCAATTGTATGCATAAAAAGACTATAAATGATTCTTCGTTTCAACATTATTTGTAACACAATCTTGTGATATAAGAAAATTATGTTCGTTTATAAAGAAAATGAATTAACTGTGCTCCCCGGCCTAGAATTCCCATACTTCACATTTATAGCAACGCACTAAATTTTGTATTTTATTTTTCACGCCTGCCTTATCTATCTATTATTTTGTATTAATCACCCATAGGTTCCTGTAATCTTTATATACCATAATTGTAAAATGGTGAAGAGATTCAAATGAATGAATGAAAAGGACAAGACCGGGTTCTTGGTGAATTTTCTTTTTTTTAAAAATGTTTAGTATTGCCCCCTTTAAAAAATGTATTGAATCAAATACCTCTAAATTGATGTACATATAATTAATTACTTTGAACATATTTTATGTCCATCTTTATTTTTTTAAAAAAGGAAGAAAAACAAACAAATATGTAATACATTACCGAGTAATTTTATTTAATTTGTTGTTTCCGTATTTTTATTTTATACCACCGGTAATATATGCGAATAATATTACTTACAAACAACACAGAATGACATGTTGATCATCAATATCCATATTTAAACTAAAATGACTTCCGAATGAATCCTACACGTTTTTCACACGATTCTTGCACGAAAGTCGCACGTTTCTCACACAGTTCTTACACGAAAGTCGCACGTTTCTCACACGCTTCTCGCACGCTCGCTACACGGTTTGCACGAAACGCTTTGGAGCTTACACGAAACGCTGCACGGTTTACACGAAACGCCACACGGTTTGCACGAAACGCTGCACGGTTTACACGAAACGCTACACGGTTTGCACGAAACGAAAAGCGCACGAAAGTCACACGCTTTTTTGGGGTAGTAGCACGTTTCAGGGTCTGTAACAGCAAAACACTATGAATAATGAATTTTGGAAAAAAAAGATTATTAAGTTTAATGATGCATGTATGTAGTATAGAAATATTGTTCATATGCCTGTACATGGTACAAATATGCATTTTACAGAGTGTACATATGCCAGAATCATATGGACTGCAGACTGGCCCTGGTGATTCCGTTAAGAGAAAAGAGGAAAAATCAGTGCTTGTGCTCATTTGTCATTGGACAAAGGTAAATAGATTTATTTCATGAAACTAAACATGTAAATTACTAGGATATTAAAATATCACAATTAAAATACATGTACTGATTTATATATATATATGGATATCAGTTGGTCTCCTTGATGGAGTTAAATGCATTTGTTATCCCTTTTAAGTGGATCATTTAAATATATTATGCAGTTTATTTAGAAGCTCTTTATTATCTGCACTGTTTACTTTTACAGGGTGTATGCCAGAATTTTTTCAAGAACAGTCTGAATCTGACATGGAAAAAATGAAGAAAAACAGCCTTCCTGTTTATAAATCTACATTCTGGCAAAGGGTAATTTTGTTTAGTTCAATTAGAAGTGCACATTTAATTTCAGTTGCTTTCCTTAATGATATATTATAGCATTTTTATTCCCTTATGAACAATATGTATACTTGTAAAGCATGTATCACAAAATCTTCTGCAAACAAAGTTTTGGGTGTATAGTGTTTGTTATTACCTAACCTACTATATAAATTGTAATTAGGCATTTTGAACTGTTTCCTGATTCTTTTTAATGTTTTTGCAAATCATGAAACAGTCAAAACTGTTTACCTGGTCACAGAATGAACTGTTGCATGGCTGAACTGTTCCATTATGACGTCATAATTAATTCCCCGTACTTTACAGCTTTAATATTGAATTTCATTTTCATTCAATTTGAAATTATCATCTGAAAAGTAATCCTGATATATATATAATCAATTTAATATCATTTCGAAGAAGAGGCCATGAACACCTTTTCTGAGGGTAATTTGGGGAAAATGTAGGCCCCTTTCACTCAGTATAGTTCTTTGCCATACACGTGTAATATTCAAATCTTCAAGACATCATTATGTTGTTTACTACATGTTTTTTTTTTCAATTTATTAGTGCATGATAATATCACATCCATTAATTTTTCTGAACACCAATCGGTGTGAGAATTTGATTAATAGTTTGTTTATAAAAAATAATACATGTACAAACATTTGTCGATGTATTTTAAAGGCCATTGATTATTATGTCGATATCATTACTTTAAGAAATTATATAGTAGGTTAGGTAATAAAACACTTATTTCATGACAACTTGGGAAACAGTCAAACTGTTGTCCCTCGATAATGGGGAAGACCTGGGAAACTGTTGCCCTCGGCCTTCGGCCTCGGGCAACAGTTTCCCAGGTCTTCCCCATTACCTCGGGACAACAGTTTGACTGTTCCCCTCGTAGTCATGAAATAAGTGTATATTGTTTAATGTCCCTCTTGAGAATTTTTCACTCATATGGAGACGCCACCACTTGTCGGTGGAGAGCTGCAAATTTTTGTCCTATACTCAGCACTTACGGCCATTGAGCATTGAGGGATCTTTTTCGAGCCAGCACCTACTGTGACATGGGACCTCGGTTAATACCTCTGTCTCATTTGAAGAACGGGTCCCCACGTCCCACAGTGGGATTCAAACTCGCGATGTAAGGATCAGCTTCTTTCTCCGCGACTCTAGAGTAGATGCTCTAACCACTGCATCTGCTCTACTTTGGCAACTTTGGGTGTATATAAGCATAGGAATCATCATGTCCATCTGTCTGTTCATGTGTTTGGCCACTTTTATGATTAGTTTTTTTGTTCCAATTCTGGCTGAGATAAATTGATTTAAGTCATCTAGATACAAACAAATTAATGGAAATTACTATGGTATTGGAATGAACATTTTGGAATACTGTCTAATTGTTCCATTGTAGTTGGTTTCTTCAATGTTGAAATAATGCATCTGGTCTTCCTAATGCATGGCATACACTGTATGCATGTGTAATGTTAAAGTTGGCTGAATGTAAAACAGTTCTTGCATTATGACAAAGGTAAATAGATTTAGTTCATGTAACTAAACATGTAAATTATTAGGGTATTAAAATCTCAAGTTTTGAATACTGATTTACATGTGGAGAGTAGTTGGTCTCCTTAATGCAGTAATAATACATTTGGTCTCCCTTATGCATACTGTATATTGTATAAATTTAATGACTGACATTTACGAGGGTTGATCCAAAAGTTCATGGAATTTCTTCATATTTTATTTATTTATTAGTGAAAGTGGTTGAATACTGATTTACATGTGGATAGTAGTTGGTCTCCTTAATGCAGTAATAATACATTTGGTCTCCCTTATGCATACTGTATATTATATAAATTTAATGACTGACATGTACGAGGGTTGATCCAAAAGTTCGTGGAATTTCTTCTAGTGTTGTACCGATAATCAGAAAACATCGATTGTCGACAAAAAAATGCTACCGATTCCGATGATCGATTATAGTTTTTCATAATCGATCATCGGAAACATACTTCTAATACAATACATTCCGGAATTATCCATTTCTGGTTTAAAATTTATTTCTTCTTAATGAAAGAAAATGGCATCTGCATCTGATACTAGCCAACTAGCACGAAGCAGAGGTGATTAAGAACCGAAGATGCATATATAGGGCCTAAAAAAAATTATTTTTGTTTCCTGTAATAACCCGACCGACCCATTCAATTTACCCCCGGGTGAATTTTTTTTTATGCCAAATCTGTGTTTGCTCTTTAATTTGATCAATCAGCTGATTCTTTTTATTCAAAAAATATTAATTGTATCTTTTATTTGAGATATAAAATATGCAACTTAGTCAACATTTACCTTAAATATAGAGTGATCAATTCCCCCCACAACTTTTTGAAGTTCGTTTTCTGCCGCTAGGCAGCCATGTTGGGTGTCCACTGTAAATATTTTTAGGTCTAGAAAGTGTAAAAGAAGCAAAACAACAAAGAAAATAATATATTATGTATTTTATATATTCATGTTAAAGAAATAAATGAAATTATTGTAATAGTCTGCTTTTTGTATACAAAACTATGAAGAAATCCGATTATAATCGGTGAAATCGCATCAGAAGCAGTAACCGATTCCAACCGATGATCGATTATGAAAATTAACTGATGTCTCATCACTAATTTCTTCATATTTTTTTTTATTTATTAGTGAAAGCGGTTGAATACTGATTTACATGTGGAGAGTAGTTGGTCTCCTTAATGCAGTAATAATACATTTGGTCTCCCTTATGCATACTGTATATTATATAAATTTAATGACTGACATGTATGAGGGTTGATCCAAATGCTCATGGAATTTCTTCATATTTTATTTATTTATTAGTGAAAGTGGTTGAATACTGATTTACATATGGATAGTGGTTGGTCTCCTTAATGCAGTAATAATACATTTGGTCTCCCTTATGCATACTGTATATTATATAAATTTAATGACTGACATGTACGAGGATTGATCCGAAAGTTCATGGAATTTCTTCTTATTTTATTTTATTTATTAGTGAAAGTGGTTGAAAATTACAAATAAGAATATAGACACTTGTTGAATTTTTTTAATAAAAAAATATTTTAAATATTAATGATAGTAACTCTATGGCAGTTGCCATAGCAAAGGATGTTTTAAAATGCAGGGGAGACATTTACTTGTTCATTATCATTTTAATTCTTAATACGTGATATAAGAAAAAACCTGCGCCAAGTGGCAAATAAAATGAGAATTTTGTCATTATTACGATTGCTTGACCACTAATATACCTGTATGTGAGAGTTTTACTGATTTAACTTGATATTTAGATTATTAGTTGATGATTTCTTGTTCATCTTTTAATTGTTAGAGAACGTCACATTTCAGTCAAGTTATAAGTTTTGTTAAAATCTTAGGAACACTCTGTCTTAAAGGGGTATACTACTGATACAGGCTGGAGAAAAATGCATTTAGCAACTGATTTTCCAGTGGCGTGAAAAATTTAAGAACAATAGAACTTCCATGGAGGTTCATTAAAGGTGTGGCTGCTTTTGGAGGGTCTGTTTTTCTCGTAGACAAATTAAGCGTTGATGGATGTTGACCGCTGACATACTGTGCTTGACTTTGCTACTGAAATTGGAACATCATATGGAAAGATGGGGAGTATTTTTGAAATATGAGTGTAATATAAAGATAAGTCGATTGGTGGATACCCAGGCTTTTCTTGAGAGAAAAAAGGAGAAAAAGGCAGAATATTCTGTAGAATTACTTAGTTGAATTGAACATGAGGGTGAGATGCTCCTATAACATGACATGACATACTTAACTTGACGTTACGTCGAAGTCTCCCCCGGATTTTACAACTATCAGTGTTCAGAAAGCTCATGTGACCTTATTGGTAATTGGAACGTGGTGAAATTTTCCAGTATTGTTGCATAATGACTCTATATTGTAAATATGCCTATTGTTTGCTTTCATCAAATCACAATAAAATTTTAGAAATAATTAAATTCCATGAACTTTTGGATCAACCCTCGTATTAGAAAAAAGATGGATCTAAGATTGAACAGGTTATAATTCACCTGAGTCATTTAAATTACTTATTGCTATCTGTTCTTGTTCAGTCATCATGTGTCAAGTATTGTCTGTAAATTATTGAACATTTTCAGCTTCTTTTCTGGAACCAGTTTCAACTAATTTCTCGGTTGAAGTACTGTATAGGGGATAATTTCAGGGGTTGTAATTTTCATGTTTTTCTCTCCTCTGACACGATCGCGGTTTGTTGAATTCGCGGAATCGGTATATAACTAAGGTTACATGTACCTCCCTTCAATGTCTATATCCCTTTAATCCATAGCATAGCTAGAAGGCATTAATCAGCATTATGTATTCACTTCACGAACAACAGGGTAGATTTATATATACATCAGCAAGTTCGATAGTTATTTAAATGATTTTTTAAAACCAAAATGTCGATAAAAACATGATAATGCAGGTAACAAATACACGTCGTAACATAGTTACGTACGGGTATTCAAAACCCATGACCCTAGTGTTTTGATTGATGAAACATGTAGCGTTGGCTATTAAAACAGTTTTTTTTTTTTTACAAATACAGGTTATTATCTGCTGGGTGATCTAAATTAATGTCAAGCGTGATAATTAAAATAATTGAATGACAGGTACGATTCGTAATTACTGAAATGACCATGCACTGCACGTATATTTACCTATCGTAGTCTATTCTCAAATTTCCAAATATAACATGTAGGTTATTGAAAACTTATTCACTGTTTCTTGAATTCACGGATTTATTCACACCGTGAATATAGCGAATATTAACACCGCGAGTTATTTTCCCCCTATACAGTATACAGACTTAATATAGAAATGATTTTATCGACTTTCTCAATCTATCATGAATTTAAAAATGTAAATATAAGCATTTAATTGTAAATATTAAACATTTAGCATCTAAAAGCCAGAGTTGGAAATTACTGACTGCCCGAGGCAGTCTGTTTTTCAGGTAGGCAGGGACAAACTTTAGATTAACGTCGGTGGTCGGGGTCATTTAAACAGGTAGTTCCTGTTTTCCTTTTTTTTTCAGGGTATAGTAAGTCTATAGAAATTAAGTAAAATATAGTATATCAAAGGAACACTTCTAGTTAAAAATATGAGATGACCTATAGGACCAATATTGGTTTCAGTCTTTAGAAAAAGCTTACCGATATATGTTCCGGTCACTGACTTTAGGTCACATGTGTGTAGTTTCTTGTTTCTCATGTATTGCTTTAGTTCTACATTAATGGTAATCTGACAACCAAGCTTTATGATAAACGTGATGACTTTAACTTTTCAATCGTCAACTTCCCTTACTTATTCAGCAATATACCTTCATCACCTGCATACGGGGTTTATATCTCTCAGTTGATTCGATACGCAAGAGCATCCTCTATGTATGAACAATTTTTAAAAGGAGGTAAGTTATTGACAAACAAATTGCTGAAACAAGAATATCAGCAGTCTTGTTTAAAGTCATCATTTCGTAAGTTCTATGGTCGATACAATGACCTTGTCAGCAAATACAATTTATCATTAAGTAAAATGCTGACTGACGTTTTTCATGCTTATTGTTAGGCCATTATTTACACACTGAATTGTGTATGGATTTTTCTATTGTTTCCCAGTCGTGACAAGGAGCACACAGCGGGTGTGACTGGTCTGCAGGGGATGCTCACTCCTCCATGGCACCTGATCCCACCTCTGATGTTTTGGAGGTCCGTATTTGCTCTGCTCCTATTTTGTATTTTTTGATGGGCTTTTGAGCTTGAATACTGATTGTTATCTCGATATATTTCATTCTACTCAACTGTGTGTTCATGTGATCCTACCTCAGTATTTACAGAATGATACATCCTTTGTTTGAGGGTCATTCTTGATGTCTGACTGAGTAATGGCAATGGGACATAAAACCTTAACTGACCTTACCACATTCTTTTCTAATCTGAAAACCCTTATGCATTTTTAGCATAACATATCGCCAATGCACACATTTTTCCCGAGGAATGAACTGCATCAACTCTGCATAGAACAGTATCTCTCCCACTGGCACAACAGTACTATTACACATCATTATGTTCTTGAAAGGCAAACACAGCAATTATTGCTCGGCATGATTTTTTTTCATGACACCTGCAGTATCGAGTAACACAAAGTGAATGATTCATGTCCTCGAACAAAGTGTGCTTACAATGAGGTTTAGTTCCAGTTGATTGCGTTAAGTTAAAGAGAATTTATGATCTGCATTTCCATAGATGTCTTTTATATCAACACCAAACATGCATTTACGGAAGAAAATATATTAAGTACATGTAAAATGCAAAAGCCTGTATTAAAAAATCAAAGGACAAGTGCACTTAAGCAATGCTTAATGGGCCCTTTTTCAGTGCCATATTACTTTAGAATGCATTACCAAATTGTTCTCTTTTGGTAATAGTTAAATACAAGTGGACATTTCTAATTAAAATAACATTAAAACATCACCTAAATCAGCATGGATTTGAAACAAATGAAGTTTTTTAAATGCCTATAGATACCCCAAATCCAGAAAAGTCGTACCGAACCTATTTTGAGTTTCGTTTATTTAAATCAAGGGGAGGAGACATTTAAATCAGACACTTGAACAATCTGATGGTGGATCATTGACAGGCGCGTTTGCCGAATGATACTTCTTGAACTATTTTACCCGAGAAAAAAATAGAATGAAGTTGTATAGATACCTGTATCCATAGTGAACAAACTAAGAAATTTGCATGCTTGCATTTGAAATAATACAATAAGTATTAACATTAGTTCCTTTAAATTTTAAAATGAAAAAAAGTGTATTTAGGTGGCTTTCAATACCAGTACCATTGTCTTGCATGAATGTTAAAAATGTTTGACACTTTTATTTATGATGACATTTTAACGACACTAAACTCTCCTAACCATCCCGTGTTCCTAAAACCAAATACATACAATCTTCTCTATGCGGCTTGACTTCGATATAATGATACAAAACGTGGTTATGTTTTACAGTGAGCATCTTTGAGGAATGTTTACCTGGGTAGAACTCACGTGACTACCAGTATTTTAAATAATTTATTCCACGGGTGGGTTCAACATAGGTCATACAGGTAAATAGCTCTTGCTTGTTATAGGAAAAACATTGAACTTTTCATACATTTTTAATATTTTAAGTACAAGCCTAATCATGTACAAATTTCCTACTTTCACACAAGTTTTATAAATGTATAATGCATTTTTTGTCAATCGCACAAGTTTGTACAATGTTAGGCTGACAATAAACAAAAGCTTTGAAATGATTGACCGTCCTCGATTTACTATAGAAAATCACGAATGTCGGCTGACCCCTACCACATTGTATGGCTTTGCTCTTTGTATATTCATGAATTTCAGCGATAAAATTTGTTGAATCTTATGGTTTAGATATCAATTGATGATCTGAGATGGAAAATTATGCTTAATTTAATTCTTCATTTTTTCACATTTTACTGGGGCCCATAAGTGCACTCGTTCTTTAGTGTTTATACAGGTAAAAAGTTTGAAAAAATAAAAATGTGCCAACAAATGGTTTCGAACCAGGACACTAAAAATGTTCATGGTGAGAGTCTGCGGTCTATCGTTCTGGGCTATGCTGACTATGAGGACATTTGTAATAAATATAAACCAGTATGATAGAAATAGGTTTTCACTTTTTATGTAGGTTTTTTTCTACGAATTTCGACCCTAGGCACCTCTAAAAAAAACCTTGTTTTAAATAATTGCTTACTAGATCAAAATCTATCAAAATTTCATAATTTAATTTAGGGGCAGGCAAAGGGTGATTATATTGCATCTATCGGGTATAATTTTCTTATCAGAAAATTGTAGAGATATGCAAGGTTAATTAATGACAACATTTATTTTTCCTTTTTGCCTAATACTTTTATGTTTTTCACTAATAAATTGATTATTGAAAAAAGCCTTTAATATGAATGCTGATTTTATCTCCATCTGTTAATTTTCAGCACCTTTTCTCATGATTCTAGTAGATAGAGAACAGATTATGATTTCTAACATTTACTATTACAGATCATTTCCTTGAGATAGGTTGAACCAACAGTCAAATACAGACACTTTTAAGAAAAGTAAAAATCTGGCTCAGGTAAAAAAAAAAAAAAAAAAAAAAAAAAAAAAATCATTTACAGTTTTAACAATTAGTAATTTTACCTTAATTAACTGGAAAAATCTTATTTGACGAAATACAGGTCAAGAATGAAGAGTTTAAAGCCTAGTAGGGATTTTGGTCAATCATTACAGGTAATCTGCAGTCCCTTTTGAGAATTTTACACTCATGGAGACGCCACCACTTGCCAGTAGAAAGCTGCAAATTCTGTCCTATACTCTGCACTCATGGCCATTGAGCAGTGAGGGGTCTTTTTCATGCCAGCACCTACTGTGACATGGGACCTTGGTTTATAAGGTCTCATCCGAAGGACTGGTCTCCATGTCCCACAGTGGGATTCAAACCTGCGACATAAGGATCAACTCCTTACTTCGCAACTCTAGAGCAGACGCTCTAACCATGGCGCCACGCTTGTGACTAGCTCAGTTTTAAAGAAATCATTCAAGATATTTTTTATCAAACTTAATATGCTGATACATGTATAATTAGTAAGACCTATTCAACTATTTCAAAAACTTTTGACCTTTCCTGTGACCTTGACCTCACTTTCCTTCAATTTGCATTTTGCATGGTTTTAAAACCATTTAAAATATTGATATCTAAGGCTATGCATCTATACATAATTTGGTGAGAATTTATCATCTATATCCATTTTTTTAGATTTCAATTTCAAAGAAACTTTTCAAGATATTCTCATCAAACTTCATACACTAACACAAAATTTCATGTTGCATTACTATACACTCGGCGGGCATACATGTCCTATGGACATATTTCTAGTGTATTGCTATTTCTGTTGTTTGTTTACTTCCGGTCAGTAAGTGCCCCCTAGGGGCAAGCCCCAGTCCTGTTTTCTTTTCCAGGGTTGCAACAGCGCCCCCTAGAAAAACAAGTTGCACCATCCAATAAAATCGTATTTTGTGCTGCTTTATGCCAATGAAATTAAGGCTGGACAGCATATGTATTATATTCTGACCAACGGGTTTGCCGTATTTTCAAATAATTAGGATAGACTTACCACTTCAGTATTCCTTTCATCACTGAAGTGATATACATGGTCAAAAATTGACTAACTTTCATTTTTGTGTCAACTGCAGAGCAGAACGACACTTAGAGATCACTTTACCTGGTGTCTGTCTGTCCGTCTGTCACACCTTATATCTCCATAATTTTGAGAGGCAGGGTTTTGATAATTAGCATTTATATATGTTTTTGAGCTCATGATACTATACTTTGGAACTGTATGAAATTCAGTTACCACACAAACTTATATTTAAATACTATGAAAATACATTGGGATCAGTATTCCACAATGAATCGTGTTGACTGACAAAGTGACAATTAAAGTAAAGACAGTCTGAAATTCCTTTCCTCCGAGGATTGTTGGAAGCACCTACATGTGTATTAATAAAATGATAAATAGTTATTCCTCATAATTTCAATTAAATTATTCATTTGAGGACTGGGGAACCATATTTTCTTTGACTGCCAGATTCTATCCCAGTCTTTTAAATACTTTTGGATCTTTTTTTTTCCTTGCAGGCAAATGCTTGAACCTCCATGCTAATATTAAATTAATAGCTGACCACTCTTAGATTTATTTACCTCTTTAATGACGATACCTAGCAGGTGACATATACATTCGTTGAAACACTCTAGTTCCTATTTGATTTTCACTAATATAAAGATTATTGAAAAAAGACTAAGGTGCTCTATAGTGATCAGTCTATTCATTCATCTGTCTGTCAAGTACACATATCCCTTGTTCAGAATACAGGTGACTCTAAATACTTCAAACTTTGTATTTTTTAATTAGATACATGTAGCTGCTTTGGAACATCTGAAAGGTCTATTACATTATCACTAGTTTTACTAGTTTTCTTCATGTAAGTTGAATGTATTTTAAACTTTTAAATTTTTATTTTTTCCAGGTATGAAAGAAATTCAGGAGTTCTTAAATTGCCTTTGGAGTTCTTAGATTGCATCAAACTGCTAAAAGACCTCAACAAAAACAGCGACTTGAAAATAAAAATGAAAATATTCAGTGGAAAAAAAAATGATGAAAGAGCCACTAAAAATCTTCAAGCCTTTGAGCTGAAATCTGGAAGTCAATCGGTGGATTTTACTAGTAAGTCATCATTTGTGTATAATAAATACACTAAACTGTAAACACTTGTTAAAATGTGTATAATTTTTAGATATAATTTGTATCTCATAGACTTCAATAGTTTCATGTAATTTAAGTAATAATGAAAATTTCCTGTTGTCTAGCTAGATTAGAAACTATTATTGTCCAGTTTTGGATATTGTGAAATAATTCATCTAGTATGCATACATGTGTGTACACTTACGTGTAAATTAATTGTTATAGCAAATTCAATCGATCATTAAGTTGAATGTTGGCTAATGTTTTTCATCAAAATTGTTTACACTGAATTGTTTGTGGATTTTTCCATTTGCCCAATCATGTCAAGGAGCACATGGCAGGAAATGCTTTCTCCTCCATTGCACCTGGTGTTTTTAGAGGTCTGTGTTTGCTCTGCTCTAATTATGTATTGTTTCAATGGACTTTAAAGCTTGATCACTGTTGGTAATCTTCATATTTCATATACTATTAGAGTACTTGAAGAAAACTGTAAAGATTTAACATACAGTATAATGCATGTATATTGCACTTTAAGTACAGTGTATGTGGTTAAGAAATGTTAAATCGTCTCATAGTGCATTGAATTTGTTGAAAATTAGAAAATGTGTTGAAATTTTTTTTGAAATAATGTTAGATTGCAGATTTTTTTAAATCATGCAAGTAAGAAATTGCTAAATATTTTTTAGATTTTCTGGACAGTCTAGATGAGTTCTTACTATATACCTAGCATTGTCATCCCATTT